CAATTTCATGCCTTTTATACATAAACGTACGCAGCCATTTGATGTCTTTGTGGAAAGGGATGAATGGGTAGACTGCAGTCAGTGTCACTACTCTAACTAATATCTTTAACATTTTGGCATGTTGATCTCTTCACAAAACTTCGGCGACTGTGCGTGTGTTGGGAAGGCGCTGTTCATAAGACAATGGTCGCCTACATCCTCTACCAATAATTGCAGATGTCTCGGTCACCACATTCCTTTGTATTCACCGGTCTTTTGTGCACAAATCTGGCACTTTGAGGTAAGAAGTAGACCGACGGTTCCTTTCCCCACAGCATAACAATAACATCCAACTAAAATTGGTTGAGGTCTTAGCTATAAGATGTCAGCGTTTGCCTGCTCATCTTCTTCACCTTCTCTGTCAACCCATTGGGTAAAGCATGATTGTGTAAGTAGTAGTATTTGAAAAAACCTAATTTACTGTGAATCCTTCTTTCAACTGAACTTTTTACTCAAAGTTAATAGATTTTAAGTAATAGCTTAAAAAGTCGGACACTGTTGCCAAAAATGGGAAAGCTTAATATGGGTGGGGCCTTTTAAGACGAGCGATATCTAAGTCGTCGAAAAAGAAGTGTAGGAGGAGGAGGTGGTGGTGGTTATTCAAATTTACCTCCTCCTCCTCCTTCTCCTGACAATACCGATGCAATAAAACATAAAGCTATCACCTGGGAATGGCAATGGTGGTGTTTTGGGAGCAAGAACGCCTTTCTACTGCTAACTTTGAGACTCGGATGTAGCAGCAGTGCTACAGGTGGATGGTGTTCGTGAAGGCGAAGATGCAGGCACAAAGCTTTCAGATTTTTGGAAAGAGCTATTGCAGTGAATGTAAGGAAGGTTGGATATGCGTGTCGGGTCTGTCCCCACCGTAGTTTGACTGACAGTACGTGTGTGCGATTGGGGAGAGGAGGGGGCGTTGTGAGTGTCAGACAGGTGACAGAGATGCAATGCAAAATGAATTTTCGTCCCAAATTATGAGATAAATACATTGCTAAGTTGCTTTCTTTGCAAAGGGCCTTTTCTTTCTTCTCTTTGACCAGATTTAACAAAGTGACGTGGAGAATTGGGGGCATGTCAGTACCACCAGGGGTGGTGCGATAGGCTGAAGCAGGAGTGTCGCAAGAGCACATGGGTCTTTGTCTTCACCCCTCACTTATGTAAACTACTTTCCCTCGGAAAAACAAGTAACCTTGACTTCTAAAGACTCAGTTTTAAGCAGTCCATTGTCATCACTCTGTGGGACGTCCGATGGGTGGTAAATAAGTTAGGTTTGGGTAGTCAAGGTCTCCTCCTTACCTAAACAGAAGGGATTAAATTAGTGTCGAAATTAGGTTATGGAATGCGATCCTATTTACTCCAAACTGCTCTAGCACTTCCAACCTATTACAACAACCTCAATCTTTCCTGAAGACGACGGAGGCCTTAATAGTAGGCAAGGAAGCGTGCTGCCAATGTGTAGAAGGACTTGGAGGTCCCTGACGTGGCGCAGAGGCCAGACCACCCAGCGAAAGTGCAATCTGCAGGGAATGCGGTGCCTGTAAAACCAAAATGAAAAGTGAAACAGACGACCATAGTGTTACATAGACCCTGTCGTCCT